ACATCTGAATCTTTTTCTGTTTCGTTTCTATGGCAACCGTGAGCGACTCATTACAATTATTTTAAAAGTAGAAATCACTTTGACACATTGCAAGTAATAAAAATTGAAAGTTTCAAAACGATTGCCTGAGTAGTTATTGAGAAAATCGAAATTAAAGAATTTGAACTTTCACCTGGTTTCCATGGCAATAATCGATTATTTGAAAATTTTAAATGCGAGTCGCACAACTACAGATACAATGACACAAATATATAAATTTTTCAGGAAAAGTATATATAGTTATACTCTGTCCCACCAAGTTACTGTAAGCACTTTTCGCATAATATCTCAAAATATATAAATACCTTGGCCTTCAACCCGCTTCCGATCGATAGATCATTTTTTTTCCAACCTTCCTCCATTTATCCGAACCCTCGAGGTCAACCAGTGTAAACACACGGCGGCAAATTCAAAGTCTACGGGGATTTAACATGGTAAACTCGTCCATTAGCGTCTAGAATACGGGGCCGGGAACCAGTTTTCGAAGGGAGTAGTCGTTCTTTGCAAAGTAAATTTCCAAAAAATCGTTAAAAATTAAAGGAATTAATTTAAATTGCTTTTATTGATAATATAACTTTTACTTTGATGTAAAATAGATTTTAACAGCATTTAACAAATTTAATTATAAACTACGAGAAAATAGTCCGAATTTAACGAAGTACAACTTGTGGATAATGGCTGTTGACATGATGATGCAAGCTCGCCAGGCCCAGTGATTAAAACGTAAGTTGTTTATTTATTCTATGGTATTTTTGGAGCTGTTGTTGTTTTACTAGCTTATATACACACAAGAAAGAAGTGTCTACAAATGCTAAGAATATATATATTTCAAAACGCGTGATATTGCTGACATTAGAACAACAGCTCTCTTGTTAGTGCTCATGGTTAACCGTTCGTGTTCTGGAACGGTCTGTATGTAAGCCCATGTGTGAAAAATGTAAAGGGGTGTTTCTATGATTATAAAAGAACACGAATATGGTTAAACAATTAGGTGAAATAATACCAAAAAGAAAATAACAGCTAGTTAACATAGTAACTAAAGTTTAAAAATTTTATTCCTACTTTCATTTTCCAATTTATTATAACATTTCATGTACATGCATTTGGCAAATAAATAACAAGTTAGAGATCTAAAGTGCATTTTTATTTTTTCATTTATGTGTAGTATCAACACCCTGGGGACATCAAAACAGAGTTTTCAATAGATAACACATTTTGGAATTATTTTTCAAAACTTTTTGTAATATTAAAATGTGCATGTATTTTTTCATCAAGTGTTTGGATTGAGTTCTAGTATAATGGTCATTTATGTACATGCATGCATATTGATGATTTAATTAGCAGAACCAGGCATAAGGTAGATGAATATGCACGCACTGTTTCAGAAAATAATGATTTGTCTTGACCTTGCAGTTTAAATGGAAAAGTAATTATATATGTAGTATTCATGAAAGGAGTCCCGTGGGGATCCAGGTTAGAATAGGTCCTCTACCCCCTTGCTTGTTGTAAAAGGCGACTAAATGGGGCGGTCCTTCGAATGAGACCGTTTAAACCGAGGCCCTGTGTCACAGCAGGTGTGGCACGATAAAGATCCCTCCCTGCTCAAAGGCCTTAAGTGCCGAGCATAGGCCTAAATTTGCAGCCCTTCACCGGCAATGGTGACGTCTCCATATCAGTGAAATATTCTGGAGAGGGACGTTAAACAGTATACAATTAATTAATTAATTATTCATGAAAGGAAAACAGAAAAAAATAAATAAAAGAACATGTCTGAATAATTTGATCAGCATAAGAAGTTAAGATAAGCTGAATCATTTCATCTGAGTACAGGCTTTTAAATAAAATTGATATACATGTAACATCAGATGGAAATTTCCATTAATACTAGCTGTCATGCACATATTCAGAGTTCAAATTCTCAGTCTGGTTATCTCGAAAAAAAATTTTGATTGCCCTGTCCCAACCAACTGGCTAAAATGACTCAAAACTTTTTTTTTAATCTCCAGGAAGCAAGTAACTTTTTTTATATTCTGGAGAATAAATTATTAATTTATGATTAATTTTTCTGAGAATAATTTTCTCATATACCTTATTACCTACCAACCTATAAATCATGAGTTGGGAGAGGGCAAGACTATTTTAAAGCTGCACATGGCCTCAACAGCATCGTTTTTATACGCCCGTCTTAAGACGGGACGTATTATGTTACAGGCTTCGTGTCTGTCTGTCTGTCCGTCTATCCGTCCGTCCGTCCATCTGTTAGCTTTTCTCGTGTCCGGCTCATAACTTTAATACTATAAGGCCTAGAGTTATCAAACTTTGTCAGCTGATACATCTTGGGTAGAAGGTGTGTCGCGCACAAAAAGTAGGTCGCTCTGACCTATAATTAAAAAGTTATAGCCAAATATGGAAAAATCCTGTCCGGTCCATAACTAGAAAACTGTTAGACTTAGAATCATCAAACTTGGCCAGTTTATGCATCTTAGGTAGAAGGTGTGTCGCGACCTATTTCAAGGTCACTGTGACCTTTAATTTAAGTTGAATTTAATAAAAAAAAATGTTTTTTTTTCTATTCATTTACACATTCAAAAAAATGTAAAACTATTGCACTAACCTTACTAGAAAAATGTTAAATCAAGAAAATACATATTTTTTTAGCATATACTTGACAGCAATCTATAACAAATATAATGTATGTTAGAGAAATTCCACCACCCCCATGAGTCTAATTATCAAGCACTGGTCAAGAAGAACTTTGATAACAGAAAATTGCATGTCAAATTAGAGAGAGAAATTAATGAGTTTAGTGTGAGGAGTAGCTGTAAGAGCATCGGTGCTATCTATATCCCTTGAGTATTGGGCCAAATGGGTAAGCCTGTTGAATTAAAAATAGCTCTTGTTGGCTAGCCGAAGTTTTAAAATGAATTTGATGAGAAGTAATTAAAACAAATTTGATATTGCATATTAAACTATTTTGATATTACATAATATTATGAACTTAAAAATTAATTTTATGGGGGTAGGGGTGGAATCTGCATGTCCATATGAATTGCATATTAACAATTAACTGTCTGACATTAAATCTAAAAAAAAATCATTGATGTTTTATATGTTTTAAAAATGTTTTATGGTAGATAGTGCAGATCCAATAATCTTTTGGGAGTAATGAGTAGACAAGCATCCAGTTAAAGATTAATTAATGTGTTCAATGTAGGAAGGCTAGCTGCATGTCTCTTTCATTTCTTCAGAGCATGGTCTTATCTGTATCCTTCGGGAATTAGACAGAACTGTTGGTCAGTTTATATTTGATGGCCAGCCTTTTATTTCCAAAATTAACAAGGTAGAGATTAAGTTGTGAAGACTAATTTGATACTGTTTAATATGATAGGCATTTGGCAAGGTATAGAAATCTATGAATGATGCGATATTTCTTATAATTATAATAATCCACCACAGGAGATGGATAAACAAATTTTTTAAGGTGTGTAAAAATCATTGAAATCTTAAAAACAAGGTTGACATGATTTTCCTGCACTTTTAACTGTTTAAGATACATTGTAATTGTAATTTTTTGACGGGCGTATCATGCTGTGGTGTGGCACTTTATTTTTCTGTAAAGTCCTATACTGCTTAAATGTGAACTTAATTTGAAAATTTCTGTTTCCTTAATCCCTAGATTTTCATTTAAAGTACTTGTTTTAAAAACCGTAGGCCATGATAATTATACCCCCCGCAAACGAAGTTTGGGGGGGGGGTATATAGGAATCACCTTGTCCGCCTGTCTGTGCAATCGTGTCCGGTCCATATCTTTCTTACAGAGGGACATTAGAATCTACTACTCCACACATAGATTGCCCATGACCTAAGGGTGTGTCATGACCTTGACCCAAGGTCATTTGGGGAACTTCAAGGTCACTGGAAGAAAAATTTCATATTTCGTGTCCAGTCCATATCTTTCTTATGGATAAACTTGGTAGGTTCTCATTTCACACAAAGATTGCCCATGACCCAAGGGTGTGTCATGACCTTGACCCAAGGTCATTTGGAGAAGTTCAAGGTCACTGGAAGAAAAATTTCATAATTCGTGTCCGGTCCATATTTTTCTTATGGATACACTTGGTAGGTTCTCATTTCACACAAAGTTTGCCCATGACCCAAGGGTGTGTCATGACCTTGACCCAAGGTCATTTGGGGGAAGTTCAAGGTCACTGGAAGTAAAAATTCATAATTCATGTTTGATACATATCTTTATTAAGGAAAAACTTCTGAAAAACCCAGCGGGGGGTATTTTGTCCCGTTTGGACAATTCTAGTTAAAATATTTATGTTTGATGTACTCTGACACATATTTTTCAAGGTGGGTAGGTAGGTATCTTTTTTTTTTGCTTAATAGTATTGATCAAATTGATATCAAAGTGTCATTAAAAAATTCCAGACTCATAAATTTATTAATATTTTCAATACACACTGGATATCTAGACAGATGAAATATTTATCAATAAAAAAAATTTAATCTAAAAGCATCCAGTAGAAATCACATACCACAATTTTAAAAGGAAACAGTATCTATTTCTAATAAATAAAACATTTTTTTTAAGAAATCAAAACTTCAAAGTGCTGAAAAAATGATTGGGTTGGAGTAGTTTTGATGGGTCAGTCTGAGTACATCAAAGAAATTTGTTTATATTGTTGTCCTTATTTGCTAGTACTGTATTTGGTTGACTTGAACTTTGACCTACTTTACAAAGATACCCCAGAAAATTTAAATTAACTAAAGACTTTTGAATATTGAGTGACGGGTGTTGATAATTAACATTAATTTTATACATGTTTATGAGCTCATAAAACTGTTTTTTTAAACTGTATGATATTCAGTAAACCGCACAAACTGATATCTTAAATATTATGAAAATACATTGGGATGGAATCCCACAAAGTGGATCATGCAATAAGACAATTGCTTTGAAACACGTAACACATGTAAAATGATAAATAATTATTTATGATGATTTTAACTTAAATATTCAGTTGAGGGATGCATTCTGTATATGCTAGTAGCATAAAAATAGCTGACCACTCTTAGATTTTATAGATACATCTTTAAAGATGCTAAAAGCAGGTGACATATGTGTTCCTTGGAACACTATAGTTTATAATGAAATTGATGTCCTGTACTCTTTTATGACACTTTATCTTCTTTCAGCAATGTTAAGCTTGATTTAGCCACTGCAGTATAAGGAGAGAAGCAGACCAGAAACCTTTGACTAAAGCAAAGATGATATGCATAACAAAAGCAGTAAGTTTACTATAATATTCAAGATCTTCAAAATATCCTGTCTCTTTTAAATACATGTATTGAGAATGATTTTTTGAAGCTCTGAGCACCTGTCAGATGTGTATACATGTTACAATTTTCCCTCTAATCTTTCAAGTGTATATTTTTCCCTCAGCATTCGTAATCTTCTTCCAGAGAACTACTGGGCCAGAAAAGTTGAAACTTATGCAGAAGCATCCTGGGGTAGTGTAGATTCTAAATTATTTAATTATGACCCCTGGTGTAGGGTGGGACCACAATAGGGAACTCAAGTTTTACAATGAAATATACAAGAAAAATCTCTAAAAAATCTTCTTCTTGGGAATTACCGGTACTAGGCAAGCAAAGCTGAAACTTATGAATCATTGTGGGGTAGTGTAGATTTTAAATTGTTCAAATTAAGACCACAGGGGTTAAGTTGGGTCACAAAAGGTATAACAAGGAGGAAATTTGGTAAAGAACTGCATGGTCAAAGCTATTCAGGTAATTATAAGTGATGTGGCTCATGAGCCTCTTGTTATATAAGTCGTAATATTTTACAGAAAATTTGAGAAAATATTAACTGCAAATCTGTGTCTAAGCACCTGTAATACTGCACAATCTCACCACTTGAAAGAATAAACAAACATTGATAAAAAAAATATAATTATAACTGAAGCATAGAATATTTGATTATACTTTTATTACTTACAAAATTATGTTTTTATAGGTTGAATAATTCACAAGAGTCCAAAGTTTTGATGACCATGCAGAGTCGAGATATTGTAACAAAGACATGCCTGCATTAAGAAGACTGTTCACTTAATTTTTCAGAATAAAGTGTCAGATTGAAATCCATCTTATGTTGGACTAAACAATCAGGACATTCTTCTGGATCACAGGTAGTAAGTGTTTATATGAATGAGAAAGATTTTGCTCTTCCTATGTATACTTCAGACTGGAACCTGAAAATGAGAATTGACCAAATATATGTATTTTTAATAAGTAAACAATTCATATTAATATGATGAGCACGATCTGAATTTTTATTGTATCTTTAAATTTCACTTTGCACAAATTTAAAAGTATTTTTTATGCACTGAAATCTTTATGACGAATTAAAATGTTTTATCATTATTTTTTTTTTCAGGCACAAAGTATTGACAAAACCAAAGATTACCTGGTAGTCTGCAAATGGAGTGATCATTGGATGAGCCACAACAAGATTTTCCTCGGAAATTTTAGAATAGAGACAATCTCCATCTTCAGTCATAGATGACTGATGTCGACATTTTCTCACTTCTGTTTCATGTCTTTTCTACAGCATGGACTCCAGCATCAGTGGGCTCTTGACTTTTATAGACATTTATTCTTCTGATTTTGATCTAATATCCTTAAATATAGGACAAACAATTCATTTATCTTTTAAAATATTTTTAAATTTTACTTAATAAAATGATGAAAACAGTTCAAACAAACTAGTTTATCCTATAATCTAAAACTGTTTTATGTTTCAAGAAATTATAATTTTACAAGACTTAATAAAAATCTGTTAAGGTACTTGGATCCTCAGCCAAGAAGGATAACTCTTTAATTTATAATTATGACCCCCTTCGAAGAAGGGAAGGCATATTGCTTTGCTGCTGTCTGTCGGTCGGTCCACTTAGTTTCCGTTCATTTTCTTCGCAACTGTTGCACATACTGAAATGAAATTTGGTATACAGGTTTATCACATGAATATCTAAATCAAGTTTTGTTTTGGGTATGATCACACCATTTTTGACAGAGTTATGCCCATTGGACTTAGAAAAATTTCCAATTATTTGCTGTTTCCTTTCACTTTTTTTTGCAGAGGTTGCACATACTGCAATGAAATTTGGTATGCAGATTTATCAGATAAATATCATGGTCAAGTTCTGTTTTGGGTACGATCGTGCCATTTTTGACAGAGTAATGCCCTTTTGGACTTGGAAAAATTCCATTTTGGGGGGAGGGGGGCATAAGTGTTTTACAAACATCTCTTGTTCAATTCAGAATCTCAAAATGAAGCTTTAAAAATTAAATCTTTTCTTGCAACAGTTTTCATTTTATCATGATAATGTTTATAACTTCTCAGTGTCCTTTAAGGTTGTTTGAAGTTCTCAGAAAGGTCTTGTAAAAAGTCAAAATGTTTACCTTATATAGTAAAACTCTGTTAAAGAAAAGTCAATGGGACCTATGTAACTACTTTGCTATAACCATAATTTGTTTTATCCGTATAAGGAATTCATTACATTTACATAGCTGGGGATCCAAGGTTACCTCGCTATATCTGTGAAATCACAATATCTGTGTTCGTACTAAACAAGTTTTAGTGTAAAAGTATTTCGAAATTTCTTTGCCCATTTTAGACAGGTATAATAAAATGATTCCAAAGTATTTTACAATTTTAAAAACAATTTTCTCAATATTCTACCATAAATAATTTTTAAAGATTCTAGACAAATTTTTGATATAAAATCTCTTACTTAAATTACTTAAATATGAATTTTATTCTTAATTCACATAAATAAACAGAAATAATGATTTGACATTTGAGGGCAAGACAGCCCCTTAACAATGGGCCGAGACAGAGATATCTCGGCCCCGAGAGCAAGACAGCTCTACTCAGGCCCAAAAAAATAATAGTCTTGTTTCCTGTTACCCAATCTACCCTAATTTTTTGCACCTGACCCTAAAGTTTTTTAGGTTTGGAAAAAATCTGGAATTTCCATAATTTCATGTTCCAAAACTGAAAAAAAAATAATGTATATTCAAGTGGTATTTTATGATACTATATGTTTTAAATATGGATTTTCATAACATACCACTTGAGTCATGCATCAAAAGACAAAATTTAATTTGTAATGAAAATATTGGTCTATGACATGTTTAATTTGGTTTTTTATTAGTTCATATCGAAAATAAAAAGAAATTAAAAAATAAAATAATTTTCCTGCCTACCTACCCAATTTTTTCCAGGCTGGTAGCAGGAAACAAGACAATTATTTTTTGTTGGCCTTGCTAGGCGCTGTCTCACCTAGTCCAAAACATCTGTATCAAGGCTGATACACTATTAGGTATATGATATAGGCATATATGCATGTTTGTGTACTAATTGTACTTTGAAAATTTACAATGAATAAACTTACTTTGAAATTTTACTGGGACTCAAAAATCAAACTCGAGAAACCTGCATTATTTCATACCTTCAATATACATGTATCTGTAGGTACTTATGGCTTAATATATATAATGTACATGTTTGTGCTTTTCTATCTTGTAGTTGCACCAGGCAGCTATTCAGATTCCTGCAATGAAAATTTTTGTTCTGAAAACTCATAAAATATTTTATCTGTTAAATTGTTTTATTGAAATAGAGAAGGGAAAAAAATTATAATATATTTTTAAAAATCATAATCCTTCACCTTGCGTTATGTATTTTAATTTTATGTGTATAGGAATATTTTAAATCTTGGTATTCTGTTATATTTAAGGTAAACAAAAATGTATATCCTGGGTCTGAATTTACCAAACACCGATATTACAGGAAGGTTTGTAAGGGCAAGGTCAAAATTCATTGGTGACGTAGTTTGATGCAGACAACAAATGTTGTTTTGCTCTAGATTAAAAATAAAATATCAACGAAGGATTTATGTGTTCAAAGAGTTGGAAGTATAACAAAGTCAAGGAATACTGTGGTATGTGCATGTGAGGACATCACTTGTTCACATACTGTGACATAGAAACGATAATATGATACTTATTTTGACCGTGTGTTACAGTTTTTTAACAAACTATAAGGAGTTGGATTTATAAGGAAAGCTAAGGTGAAACGTTAAGGTAAGGCAGCATTTATAATTTTTAAAAATCTTAATACTAGTTATATTACTTTGATTGATCTCTAGCTAGTGTTACGTTTTGGCTGATAAATTATAAAACTAATTTCACTTGAGCTAAATTTGCAGTAGCCTAGCCTCGATTGTTTTATCGAAATGTTATGTATGAATTGAGTCATACCTCTTTGCCTTTATGCAGTGAATAACCCTTTTATGAATCTTTGGTCCCTTCGGTCTCGGTCTGGGTATGAAAGTTTTGTTGAAGACGTAATTTCTTGTAGTATAAATATATACTTGGAAGTCTCGGGCGTTATAGGTTTTTCGGACGTCGATAACCATAGAGCACTCCCGAACGTGTGTGACGTCATTTCCTTACTGACGGCAACGTACGGAAAATTACGAACAATGGATGATCCCCTTCCGAAGTGGTGGCCATTTTGACAATGTTAAATCTCCGTAGACTTTGAATTTGCCGCCGTGTGTTTGCACTGGTTGACCCCGAGGGTTCGGATAAACGGAGGAAGGTTGGAAAAAAAATGATCTATCAATCGGAAGCGGGTTGAAGGCCAAGGTATTTATATATTTTGAGATATTATGCGAAAAGTGCTTACAGTAACTTGGTGGGACAGAGTATAATGACATAAAAGACAAATTGAATCAATATTCTATATTCATTTTTTATGTTTCCATAGATTACATAAAAGTATATATATTAAATTTAGTGATGTAAAGTGAGTAGTAGTTTTATAGTGACCTACCATAGTATATTTGCACTACTTTGCTGACTAAGTAGTGGTGGGATTCGAACCCACAAGTCCCTACAAATAAGACAGTTATGGGTAAATTATACAGAGGTTTGTAACTGACAGACTGGGAATGTAAACACATACAAGGATAAAGGGTTGAAAATAGGATTATACATGCAGAAGTTAAAACACCTACTAAGTACTTAGGCCCTTTTTTTTAGCCATTTTGTATTTTTTTTTCTTAAAAATTTCAAGATATTGAAAGTGTTTCATTGTAAATTTTTGTCTTTGTCAATGTATTGAGTAGTTAATACCAAGAGTAAAGCTAATTTATGCATAGTAGGCCTATGAAAAACTTTATTTTATGTTATCTAACAAAAATTTGAAAACATTTTTTTTTTTCAAAAAAAAAAGAATGCTTACCTACCCGGTCTAAAAATTATAGGATGGCAATTGCAAACAAAGATTTTTTAAGCTTGGCCTTATATATAACACAAAGCGCAGAACAGATATCTTCTCTGGTTGACCCACAACCCAAAGCTGATTTAAAATACTCTGAACTTACCTTAAGGGCATACAGTAAAACCTAGTTTTAGCTTCTAACCTTACATTTAATGTCACATTTAATAATAATGTTTTCAATGCAATTGCTTGCGAAATTTTAAATTTAATTATTTTCATTTCTGAAAAATTAATAATTGATAATAAACAAATAAATAAATCAACATATTTGATGTAATATTCTAGCATGAAAACTAACAGAACTTTGGTAGGCAGATAAAGACTCATCTTCGAAGCTTTGGGATTCCATTATGTTACTTATATTTGTAAGATGGCTAAGAAAAGTCAAAAACAGTCAATCCTGGCTTGGAAACTTACAAGTTTTTACATGTACATGCATAATTTCCTTTTTAAATTAAAAAAAACACTGCTTTTATTTCATGCTGAAATATAAAATGGAAAACCTGGTTCTTCATGATTTGCAGATGTTTCTTCAGAACTTGTGGCTTGAAAAGTATTTGAAATATGGATGAACACAAATCATTGTTACTTTATACAAGATCGCTACACTTATTGATTGTCAAATTCAAATTATCACTTCCACAAAGTGTTTTCTGTTAGGCAGAAAAAAGTTTGTTTACAGTCAATTTAAGTGACAATAGGAAACTGACAGTTAATATCATCCTCGGAAAAATAGTTGCGCACTATCTTCACTGTTTCAGCACTATGACAAAGGGGTGAAGAAGGCTCAAATACCTTGTCTTTAACTGTCACGTGCACACTGCCTCTGTAAAAACTGTCATGAATAGACTCTGGAATTGACACTGCAAAGTACACTAAAGGAACAATGACAGCAACATGGAAGTCATGATCGAGAGCAACAACTCTATTTTCATTTGCCACAATTGCTCCATGATGTGATCGAACACCGGTGGAAACAGGTTGTTCTGGATTTTCAACGGGTACAATGGCCTTGTTATCCAAACTCTGAAAAATGCTAAAGTATTTCCATTTCACAGCAAAGGATTTAAGCAGTGATAACTGTTGTCTACATTAGTCGGAATCCATGTGCTGAACCCTGAGTAACCTTTTCTGAACTGAATACTTCAAATTGAATTTTCCTGTGTAGTGTACTGCACTTTTATTGTAAGGGTTTTTAGGATGAAAGTTGAGACTAATCCATGAAACTGAAGGAGCAGATGACCCAGGTGGGAACTTCTCCAAAACTTGCTCTCTCAAGTCTTCAACTGACATAGCAAATGGTAAATACTGCACATCACTGTGTCTACATTCATGTACAGCTGATTTCTCCTGAAGTAATTGATCCAAACCTTCCCAGAAAGGTTCAAATTTGGGATCATTTGGTCTTACATTTTGTTTTCTTAGGTCAAATATTATATCAGGGTCATCCATTTCTACAAGAAATCTCATAAATCTCTCATGCATTTCTGCCTCTTTCTGGTTTGTAGTTGGAGATTCAAAATTAGTTAAAAAGTCAAACTTGCTTCTTAAAATCACTGGCTGTATTTTACACTTTCGATGATATGAATCCATTAAATCTTTTCTCATACGACGCGTTGCAAATTTTAATATACTGTCTTTTATCAAGTTTATGTTTCTAGCGATTTCTGCAGTTTCCCGGTTTTTCACTTCGGATGGAATTTTCCATACAAGGTTAATATTTCCCAGATAGTTGCCATATCTATAAGAAAGTAGATTTATGGTTGATGCCACAGCCAAGTTCTTCATCCAGGTTCTTCTTAACTAGTTAATCAAATCAATCACGTTATAAAATAGTTCTCCTTCTAATGCTTTATCAATGGCAAGATAGTCGGCATGAGTAGAAGTACCCAAATTATGAGATGATATAGTTTTCAATTCCCAATTGTCTTTAAAGTCTCTCACAGGTTCTGTTTTTTCATGATTTATTTTTTGGCTCTTTCATTCATTCCTTTCAAAAAAGTGGTTTATTTAGATATTTGCGATACCAGCTCTTCAATAATATCATTGATTTTTTTTTTATTATTTTCAGCATTTTTCCAAGGAATCGGCAATAATTCAGAAATTTTCTCGCAGTTGTTCTTCAGTTCACACGAAAGCTTAAAAATAATACATTGTAAAATATATTTTTGTCATCAGATTTGTTTAAGACTGAAAACCTGTATATAAAAACTTTGTTTTAAAAGAATAGTACCTGATGTATTTATTTCTTTTGATTTTTCCAATCTCGATACCCAGTCATAGTACTCAGTTGATCAGGGACATGAATTCCTTTTGATCTGAACCTCTCCCAGAATGGATCAAGGTACCAAAGGTCCTCCGTTAGTGATGAAACTACATGTTTACCAAGTGTTGACGCCTGTTCTGATGTGAAACCTCACTTGTTTTCTTTCATCCACCCCACAATGTGATTAAAGAGTTCATCTTTTTTGTTATTTGAAGTCCTATATTATAAAAACAGCATGAGTTGCATCTACTAGCTTAAAAGACTGTGTTTTTCTATTAAAGGTCCATATTTATTTTATCTATTATTTAAATTGTTTATTTTATCTATTATTTAAATTGTTCCAATATGCACTCACACGTATTTGAAAAATAAATACTGATTAACAAACCTCAGTTGTGGAAAGTATTCGTAGGTTCTGGAGGCCTTCATCATAACATCAAAAATGGAGGATCTCATACTGGATTCCTTTTCCGTTTCATGTGTTGGGATGGACTTCACATGCAGAGTCACTGTTCTACTCCTGTTTTAATATTTACACATTATTTTCAAAAAATCTTTATTTACAATAATTTTAACTCTAAAATAATAGTCTAAATGATTTAATTTTCAATCAAGCGAGGAAAGACTGGAATTTTCTCTGCCACGCTACTCCAAAAAGTTCATTCGTATTTCCTTATCAATGAATTGTTCGGGTTCAACTTTAACTACATCATTAATGGTTAAACTCAGTCTGATCTTTCTTATTGACGACTTGGATGTTTCGCCGTTTAAAGTGACTATTTTAAAATATTCACAACTTTCTGATTGTTGCGGTGCTGACATTACGGCGCTTCCCGAAGCGTCCATGCTTGCCTTTTATTGCCGTTTATTATGTTTCGACTTCTTTGATTAGACAATTGTTTTGGAATCAGCCAATGAAAGAGTTTAACATTCGGCAAAATCTGCCATCTATCGCCTTCATAGATAGGGTAAAAATCGTCCGAGGTGTACCGAGTGGAATAAAATAAGTTATTTTTATTTTTTGAATGACCATAGTGACGTGTCGGCGGAAAGAACAAGAGGCCCACTGGCCTTATAGGTCACCTGAGCATTATTCAACAACTTTCCAGTTATTGAATTTGATTCATGTTTTAAGCCAGATGCTTTATGGCATTCACTATTTTGAAAGAGGCACCATTGATCAACATAACAATGCACTTAGCACTTGCTTAGCTTGGTTACTGAATACTCATACGCAGGGTACGGGAACAATATTTCATTTCAACTTATCAGTAATATTCAGCAATAATCAGTAGTGCCCCTAACACTGTGACATAAACCCCTGACCCTAGGTCCACACATTGCACAAATTTTTTAAGGCACCCTTTAATTGCCTTTCCCAAAAAATAAATGTTATATGAATATAAAGGAGCAGATTTCAAACAATTAATTCATTTTCAGTGTATAAGTAGAGCCACCCCCACCCCTGACCCTGGGGCCTTGAATTCACAATTCTGCAAGATTAGGGCCCTTGCTCATCATAACTATAAAAGTAGTTCATCTGCTTCATACCCAGAGACAGAGAAGAAAATTTTCAAAGATTTAATGTATTTTCACCATATAATCAATAGAGCCTCGCCCTTACACCAGAGCTCCTAGCCCTTGGGCCATAAAATTCATAATTTTAGAAGAGGCATTCTTGCTCATAATAACTAGTTAGTTAGTTTATTTAATACCTAGGAGCAGAGAAGAAGATTTTCAAAAAATTCATGCATTTCACCATATAATCAATAGAGCCCCCCAACACACACCAGAACCGTTGATCCTGGGGCCATAAAATTCAAAATTTTGGTTGAGGCACTCTTCCTCATCATAACTATGCACTTGGTTTATTTGCTACCTAGGAGCAGAGAAGAAGATTTTCAAAGAATTCATGTATTTTCACTATATAACAAATAGAGCCCCCCCCCCCAACACCAGAACCCTTGACCCTGGGGCTATAAAATTCACAATTTGGGTAAAAGCATTCTTGCTCATCATAGCTATGCACTTAGTTAGTTTATTTCATACAAAAGGGCAGAGAAGAAGATTTTCAAAGAAATCATGTAATTTCACTATATATATAATCAATAGAGCCCCACCCTAACATCAGAACCCCTG